TACACATCGGAACCCAGATTTATAATGTAATAGATAATTTTGTAATATAACCGGTATAAATATACCGGTTTTATGAGCGAATAGGTTTTACAACCTATATCGACACGTTTTAATATTGTGTCGGTAATTTTAAGTAACGCGGTTTTTCTTTTTTCATTCAAAATATTTATATGTACATACAATAGGAGTCATGTTGATACTTACGATATATGGAGATCGTTGTCATTCCATTCCGTCTTCGAAAAAATCAGTTGATGTAGGCTGTGTGCTTGTACTCAAACTGAGCTTGACTTGAGGACATGTTAGTTTGTTATGTCCCTCACCGTTGTAGTACCCACATCGCCTAATTTTCTTCTCGACCTTGTTCTTCGGCACTTCTTTTCGCTTGCGTTGTTTTCGTTGAGGGTCACGAACATTGTTTACTACAATGCTCTGGTTGACTGAATCATTCAAACCAAACGAGTTTTCTAATTCTTCTATTAGTTTTTTCATCTCATCTCTTGCGGTTTTGAAAGACTCGTCTGTCTTTGATGCAATGTAGCATAACCTACTTGACGTTGAACATAGAGTAGCGAACCTTGCCATTTGCATCACTTTTGGAGACACATTCAAATCAACATAGCTGGGTGCAGAAGCCTTCGCATTATTAGTCCACCTACTTTGAATCAATGTCCCGGGCAAATATGTGTAGTCCAATTGCTTCAAAATGTGAAGTTGATGGCGACACGGAAGTCCAACGGTCTCGAATTTTTTGCAGGAGCAAATTAGAGTTTTCGTACGAGAATCAAAACTAATTTCAAATTTCCTATTTTTTTCTGCGTACTTTGACAAAATATAATGTTGACATTCATCTAATAAGGACTTAATCTCTGCCTCAATCCGGTACAATGTCTCCCGTATAAGTTCATCTTGGAACACACGAAAAGATTCGCGGGTAAAAATCGCAGCGGCATGGCTTTCAAGGTCGACCAGTTTTGTGATCTGGAAGGGCTTCGTATGGGAACTTAAGTAATCCGCTTTCAACTCATTCATACGCATTCTACTAATTCCATCTTCAATTGCACGAACACCATCTAAATATGTCTTCTTGTGTTTCAGTGCAATAGCTAGTGAAGCATTCATAGACTCACACCTTTGTGTTGAGCGAATATTGGTAAAGAAATGACCGGTTAGATATGCTTGTGCCCATAAGTGTCGTGTATTTCCCTTCTCAATCACCCATGGATGCTTTTGGACGTTGAATTCTGAAACAACCGAATGCCATTGAATATCAAATTCCTTAGTTGTCCACCAGGAAGCCATGTATTTTGAGAATGCTGTTGTAAACTTTGGGTCACCAATGTTAGCTTGTGCATTGCGAGAAAGATGCCAAGAACATAATCTGTGCTTAGCATAAGGGATAACAGATTTGATAGGCCTCTGCATTGCCCTATCCCCATCGGTTACAACGGAAATAGGTGATTTATTCATCATGGCTTCTAAAAAATTCTGTAGCACCCACTCGAAAGATTGAGACGTCTCGTCAGCGATTATGGCAGTGGCAAACACAATTGTGTTATGGTGATGATTGACACCAACAATAGACATAATTGGTCGACCATACAAATTATCTTTGTACGTTGTGTCGAACGCAATTACATCACCGAACCATGTGTAATCCGATCTCGATGTAGAATCCGACCAAATAAGATTATACAATGCCCCCGATTCGTCTACCGAGTATGTCATAAAAAACCCATGATCATCATGTTTCTTATAATCAAAGTAGGCAATTAGCGCATTCACATCCCCATCGACGAATTCCTTTGCTTTACCTCTTTGAAGTGCATTGTAGAGGTCTTTATGTGTAAATCCAACATTATGATAGCCCCCTGCCTGCTGCGTTAAATAGTTTATTACTTGTGACGTGCCAACACCGACCTCTTTCAATGTTGTTGCCTCATCGATATCAGCCTTACTTACAACTCTATTAGAACGCATAAATGGTGTCATAGCAGGTATGCACAATGCATGATTATGTTTCTGATCAGACTTACTTATAACCCATTGATCGTTTGTATTTGTTGATGTAACTACGACTCTAGCCTTACATCCTGTTCTTGTGACTGGCGTATGAGCACGTTGACGATCAACAATATTGACTTTTGATACTCGAAACCCTTCTTTGGAACAACAAAATTCTTGTGCCTTCACATTCCCTTCCACGTCAAGCCGTGTTGTTCCCTTACGTGCACTAAACCCATGTTCCCGTGCGAATCCCTTGTAAAAGTACCAAGCTTGATCACGTGAACAGAAGAGCTGACCAACCAATCTGTCAGATTCATCAACATTATGTACTTCATGGCATTCCTCGGTTGGCTTAACATTGTCTACATCAGTATTATCCATGGCAAAAATTTTGTTGTGCAAGTTCAGTGCTCCAGGAGTTGATGGAGATGTAAGCAAAGGTTCATTTTGAACATGTTTCAGTCGTGCTGCTTTCAATAGGATGTGGCATTGGTAGTGGTAGTTAAAGGGTGGGTACAACATTAAATTCGCAGTACATATTTAGGTATGTATAATAACTACAAGTATATATTATCATTAAATTTAGGTATGTACAATAACTACATATTTAGGTATGTACAATAACTACATATTTAGGTATATACATCTTTTGAGTGAGTTTTAAGATATTAATTTAGTAATTATAGGCGTCTAATGATTTATTTTTACGTTACGGTATATTATTATTAAATTAAAAACAATAAACATATATATTACATATTTATTATTATCTTTGGTTAATATTGTTAAATTTAAATTCTAAATATTATTTTATAAATATCAAAACAATCAAATAATTTTTGTGTAAATGAAATTATTAAATTAATATGTAGGTGGAAAACATGAAACACTATTAAAAAAAAATTGAAACATAAATTACATAACTTTAAAAGAAGTATCGATCTTTTTTATAAAAAGTATGGACACTTTCAATATAATAGGTAAAAATATGATGTAATAGGTAGCGCTTATATAATGTAATATGTAGCGTTTATATAATGTAATAGGTAGTGCTTATATTGTAAAGTATCTATCCTTTTTATAAAAGTGTCCATACTTTTTTCACTGTGGAAAACATTAATTTAAGGTTATCTTTTGAGTGAGTTTTAAGATATTAATTTAGTAATTATAGGCGTCTAATGATTTATTTTTACGTTACGATATATATTATTATTAAATTAAAAACAATAAACATATATATTACATATTTATTATTATCTTTGGTTAATATTGTTAAATTTAAATTCTAAATATTATTTTATAAAATATCAAAACAATCAAATAATTTTTTGTGTAAATGAAATTATTAAATTAATATTGTAGGTGGAAAACATGAAACACTATTAAAAAAAATTGAAACATAAATTACATAACTTTAAACAAAGTATCGATCCTTTTTATAAAAAATATGGACACTTTCAATATAATAGGTAAAAATATGATGTAATAGGTAGCGCTTATATAATGTAATATGTATCGTTTATATAATGTAATAGGTAGTGGTTATATTGTAAAGTATCTATCATTTTTATAAAAGTGTCTATACTTTTTTCACTGTGGAAAACATTAATTTAAGGTTATCTTTTGAGTGAGTTTTAAGATATTAATTTAGTAATTATAGGCGTCTAATGATTTATTTTTCATGTTACGATATATATTATTATTAAATTAAAAATTCTAAATATTATTTTATAAAATATCAAAACAATCAAATAATTTTTTTGTGCAAATGAAATTATTAAATTAATATTGTAGGTGGAAAACATGAAACACTATTAAAAAAATTAAAACATAAATTACATAACTTTAAAAGAAGTATCGATCCTTTTTATAAAAAGTATGGACAATTTCAATATAATAGGTAAAAATATGATGTAATAGGTAGCGCTTATATAATGGAATAGGTAGCGTTTATATAATGTAATAGGTAGTGCTTATATTGTAAAGTATCTATCCTTTTTATAAAAGTGTCCATACTTTTTTCACTGTGGAAAATATTAATTTAAAGTTATATTTTGAGTGAGTTTTAAGATATTAATTTAGTAATTATAGGCGTCTAATGATTTATTTTTTACGTTACGATATATATTATTATTAAATTAAAAACAATAAACATATATATTACATATTTATTATTATCTTTGGTTAATATTGTTAAATTTAAATTTTAAATATTATTTTATAAAATATCAAAACAATCAAATAATTTTTTATGCAAATGAAATTATTAAATTAATATTGTAGGTGGAAAATATGAAACACTATTAAAAAAATTGAAACATAAATTACATAACTTTAAAAAAAATATCGATCATTTTTATAAAAAGTATGGACACTTTCAACATATTATAATGTAATAGGTAAATTTGCAATGCTATCGGTATAAATATACCGATTTACTTATAAAATAGGTAAATATAAGCTCTACCTATTACATTATATAAGTGCTACCTAGTATGTTATTGTACTTTATAATATTTCCGGTTAAATAATATAGCATAACCAGTCTAAATTTTAACCGATCACTTATTTAACCGATCACGCCGTATATTAACCGTTTTTTAGGCACCGCACCGCAGAATTACCCTTAATTAAAGACATTGTTAAAGAACTGAAAGACGTAAGATGAGCCAAGGTAAAAGGTTATTTTAGTATTTGAATCTTAATGGTTCTAAAAGTAAGATATACTTTTATCAGCTTTAATAATTATTAGAGATAATCAGAAATTGGTATTCATAAGCATTAGTTACCGGATTAATAATCATTTATATTTTTATTAAAATTTAAAAATAATATATATATATATATATAATTATAATATTTTGGAAATTCCTACATTTTTTTCTTCCTAATATTTATTTTCCTTTTTCCTATTTTTAAAAATAAAACTACTCCAAGTATTTACTTAATAATTAATTTTTTGAAAAAGAAAAAATTATTGGTATTTTTGAAAAGTGAACCCAGCCTACCTTTTCCCTCCTCTCTTTCTCTCTCTCTCTCTCCAACTCCAAAGTTTCGGTTTTTATTTTAATTTCTTGCCGACCAGAAAAAGAGAGCAAGAAATAGGAAATTAAAGATCAAAACTTTGATGAGTTAACTCACTCCCCAATCTCGTTCTTGCCACTTTGTCCATATTTTTTTGGGTTCCTCAACTGTTTGCAAATGCAAGACCTCTTCGGATCAGTTCGCCGTTCACTGGTGTTCCGTCCAACCCCAGAGAATAACAATAACACCCCAGAAAATAGTCCTCCATTGGCAATCACAGCCAATGCCTTTGTTGAAAAGATAAATTCTTGCATCCGCAAATCACGGGTTTTCTCCAAGCCTTCATCTCCGTCGCCTTCTCCTCCTCTGATCCGATGGCGCAAAGGAGAGTTGATTGGGTCTGGTGCCTTTGGCAGGGTTTATATGGGCATGAACCTTGATTCCGGAGAGCTTCTTGCTGTCAAAGAGGTTTCTTTTTTTTAGAACTTTTTTGGGTGGATTTTGGATTCTTTTTTGGAGTTTGTTTGATGGGTTGTAGTTTAATTGTGATTCAAAATTGAAACTCTAACGTGGGTTTGCAGTAGGCTTTCAAGTTAGGGTTCTTTCTTTTGAAGTTTTGGTTGGTTTCATTGATTTTTTTTGGTGTGTTTAAGTGAATTTGATCTAAAGTTAGTGAAATGAATTTGATCTCATTTGTTGGCTTTTGTTGTTTCAGGTGCTAATTGCAGCAAACAGTGCTTCAAAGCAAAAAACACAGGTTTGATCTTTGAACTAGGTTCATTTTTATTCTCTGAAAATGAAAGTTTCTTTGAACTAGGTTTATATGATGATTCGAATCTTAAAGCATGGAGTTTTCCACTTATTATTAGTGGTATCAATTTATCATCTCATTGTTAATTTAGCAAGCCATTGCCATTACACGATCGAACTTGATTTGCATTTTGCTATGTGAGTAGGCTCATATTAGGGAGCTCGAGGAAGAAGTAAAGCTTTTAAAGAATCTCTCACATCCAAACATTGTTGTAAGTAATAACTGTGCTGTTTTATTGTATCGATCGAATCATTGAAGGCTATCACGCTTTATTTATTGGGATATTACTTTCCATCTTCAGAGATATTTGGGAACAGTGAGAGAGGAGGAAACTTTAAATATCTTGCTTGAATTCGTGCCTGGTGGATCAATATCATCCCTTTTGGGAAAATTTGGACCCTTCCCTGAAGCTGTAAGTCTTGGATTATAAAAAGTTTTTGAATTTGGCTGTTTTTAATGCTAGGCTTGTCTACTGGTTTATCTGATAGGTGATAAGAAAATACACAAACCAGTTATTATTGGGCCTCGAGTATTTACACAGCAATGGAATTATGCACAGGGACATTAAGGTAGCTTTCCTTTTCCAGACATTAATAAAACAGAGAAGGGGCCTTAGTTTTCTTATATCTTTTTTTCTTCTTCTTTCTGATCAGTGATTAATTTGTTCATTTTTCCATTGAAAGGGGGCAAACATCTTGGTAGATAATAAGGGAAACATTAAACTTGCTGATTTTGGTGCTTCCAAACAGGTCGTTGAACTGGTAATTGTGCAATTTAACCTTATCCGCCTATGTTAATGATTTTTCTACATTGTAGAATGTACTTTTCTTTAAATCAATACTTTTATAATAAGATACATGGTGTTTTTACAGGCTACCGTTACTGGTGCCAAATCTATGAAGGGTACTCCATATTGGATGGCTCCTGAGGTCATTTTGCAGACAGGACATAGTTTGTAAGAATAACTTAACCTCTGCAAAAATCTAATTGTATGCATGTCTTCTAGTTTTCTTCGACATCTTTAGAAGTCAGAATTGGTTAGCTTTCTGTGTATTGGACTACAATAGATCTCTGGGGGTCCCGTTCTATATTTCTTGAAGCATTTAAATGATGTTAGAGCTGTCATTGGTTAGTCTTTAAATGCATTTCGCGTTATCACCTGTATTTGCTGCATGCATAATAGTTCTCTGTGGATTATAATAACTGACACGTGATATAGTTTTTATAGCCTACTGATGTACTGAAACTTACTGATACTTTATGGATATACTGGACATAATTTCAAGTTCTGCTGATATATGGAGCGTTGGCTGTACGGTAATTGAGATGGCCACTGGAAAGCCTCCTTGGAGCCAGCAATACCAAGAGGTAGATCTCTTGACATTTCAAAGATATGTTCTAATCAGGTGGTTCTTTCATCATTGCACCTAATGTGTTTTCTTTTCAGGTTGCTGCACTCTACCATGTCGGGACAACAAAGTCTCATCCACCTATTCCGGAGCATCTTTCTTCTGAAGCGAAAGATTTTCTGCTGAAATGCTTGCAAAAGTATTTTTTTTATTGATTCTGAGAGCAAATACCATAAGATATATTTTCTGGCCATTTTTCCTCTTCAAATCTGTGATGTTTATGTAATTTCAGGGAACCAGAGTTGAGGCAAGTAGCATCTGAACTACTAAAGGTAATTGACTATATTACCCTTTGTCGTTTGGGTTTTGGACATTATACTCAGCAATTATTTTGGGTTTAATATTCTCCAATTTTGAAATAAATGCAGCATCCCTTTGTTACTGGAGAATCCCTGGACAATCTTGTTTTGCATTCTCCAATAATGGTCAGTGCACTTGAACTGTATTGCTGGTCATCCCCCCTCCCCCTGAATCTACTTCTAAAAGATGTTTCTTTATCAGGATAATTCGGAAATCCCTTCACCATACACTAAGAATGAAGAACTGTGAGTATTACAATATGACTCGCTTGAACCTGTAAACTAAGTAACTCCATTGCCAACCTGGCAAGGATCTTTAACAATGTCAATTTTCTTTCCAGTCAAGTTTCAAGGTGCCATGACTCAGCTGATATCTGTAATCTGGGTAGTCTGAACTGCTCAAATGCATTCGTCGAGAAGTTTTCAGAAAGCAAAGATTGGAGACTGAACTGCAGTGAAGATGATATGTGTCTGATTGACAAAGATGATTCAATGGTGAGCAAAGTAGCGCTTTGTTCTGCTTCAATGCTTGATAACGTTAACCAGGTATCTACTATGCATTTATCAAGGTTCTGATATTTTAATTATTTGAGTGTTACATCTACTAATTAATGAGTCATCCTTTTTGTTTAGAGTTCTGATCCCAGTCATGAAGATCCTGAAATGGTACCAGTCGGTTTCCCTACTACTTGTGGTGAAGAGGGAAATAATTTTTCATATACCAGTGGGCCATCTTTCTTTGAAGATGATGATGAACTCACTGAATCAAAAATTAAAGCTTTTCTGGATGAGAAGGTACTATTATTAGCCCTTGGGCTGTCAGTTCCTTCTAAATTTGGCCTCAAAGATTGTTGTGACAATGAAATGCTGACTAATGCCTCAGGCTTTGGAACTAAAGAAGCTGCAAACACCATTATATGAAGAGTTCTACAACAGCTTTAATTTATCATGCTCCCCAAGTTTTGTTGAGAAACGTGATGAGACACCGTCAAATTACTTGAAATTACCTCCTAAAAGTAGATCCCCAAGTCGAGCTCCCGTTGGCACTCCATCTTCTGCAACAGATGCTATTAGTACAGGAAGTCCACGTAGTAATAATAGCAGGCGCGTATCAAATGTTGGTAATGCTAGTGAACAAGCTCCACAGGACAATTCACCACCTCAGCATGGTGATTGGAAAGGGCTTCTAGTTGATGGCCAGCCAGAACCGAACAGCCCAAGGTTAGTCCATAGTTGATTGGTTTTTGTTGCTTCCCCTCATATTGAATCTCTGTTATGGGGTAGTCTGAAATGCAATTATTTTCTATTTACAGTTTAATATTCTCTGAGAGACAAAGGAAGTGGAAAGAAGAGCTTGACCAAGAGCTTGAGAGAAAGCGAGGTAGATATGCTTGGTTACTTTCTTCTTCCATATTCGCTTAATAAGTAGTTGACTCCGGTAATTCTTCAATTGAATTTATCATAATATATTTATGCAAACCAAACAGTTGTATTGATTATCCAGATAGTAACCTTGTCTTGAGATAGTATATTGATTACTCAGATCTTCATGGTTTATACTCCATATAGTTTAGCAAATAATAGTGAAATTTTTGCAGAGATGCTTCGCCAAGCTGGTTTGGGAGGGAAGACTTCTTCACCCAAGGATAGAGCATTAAACAGGCAAAGAGATCGGACAAGGTTTGCATCTCCAGGAAAATGAGTGCATTTTAGCGTAAACAGCACCTCCTGTGAAGTACCTACACGAGTTCATCTTAACATTTACATTTAATTTTCAGTGAGCTTCTTCCGGCTCTCAGGAAAACAGTTGCACCCTATACAAATTTGTCATTTTTCAACCAGGGAAATCTGCCCTTTTGAAGGCGATAGCCGATGTTTGTTACTCAAACATAATATATATATATATAATACTTTTCCTTTGTTCCCCCTTGTGGTTTTACTGGTTTTGAGAGGTTTGGTATACTTTTCCGTAAGTTTGTCTAGTGCATATATGTATTACTGATGTAGAATAATAATGATGAGATTTTGCTAAAAGCATTGTAATCTTTGCCTGTCGCTTCATGTTTCTTTATGCCTTGAACAATCAGACTCTACAAAGAGTGATATAACTGTTTACAAACTTTAACATCAATCAGAAAGATGGACAAAGAAAATTCACAACAATGTCAAGAAAAGCCACTATATTGACATTGCAAAAGCATTTTATGATGCTTATATTCTCCCTGTCGAGAATAACTTAGGCATTACAAGTTTACAACCAATCGGTTTGCCAATCGTGAAAGTGAAAACTATCTAGCATTGCTTTTCTGCTCGTCAATGGTGACACCAATCTGTTAGCCAATCTTGAAGGCGAAAATGACCTACGCAGCATGGAAACAGCTGACGACGCCTTTGGAGATTTCTTGCTTATGTTGGTTAGCATCACCATGGGTGGGCTCTTGACTTGAAACGTCGAAGCCGATGGAGTTGACTTGATCAAGAACTTATGTGGAGTTTGTTTGTTTCTTGCAATCACTGGAGACCTTGTCTTGCAGAACTTCTGTTGCTGTGATGCTGGCGTTGAACTAAACAAAGGATTTGGGAATAAAACAGTCTTTTTAACCCATGGCATATTCCTCGGTGACATCCTATTAGCCATATGTCTATTGTTTTCCTTTTCAAGTTCCTTGAATTTGGGAGGGAAAACCTTGAAGTTGATCCGGGAACGAGCCCTTTGAAGAGATGGAGATTCGGAGTCGGTTTGAATCAGCTGTAACTTGTATTTTTTAATTAATAATATATTTTAATTCTTAAAATTTTATAAATTTGTTTTATTAACGTAAAATCTTATATCTGTTTATGTATATCTTCCTAATAAAATCACCCGAGACCAACCCCATCTTAGATTCTTGAATGAAACACATTTCCACCTTGTTTCTACACATAACTTTAATCATTGCGGCAATCAGGTACGTTTCTAAATTCAACAGCTTGATATGTAAGTTTAAAGAAGAGAAAATGGAATGCATCACTATAAGAAGTATCCCAAGTAAGCAATTTCTTATCGAGTTTATAAAGTATACGATGAAAAAAATATTTCAAAAATGGGAAGAAGATCGAAATTAGTATTAAATTGTGACCACAACATAGTGTAAAAGTCGTATCGTAATGTTTTTTAAGATTACCCTGACATCGCAAACTACATCTGCAACAATATAATCATAGTTATATTTAAGAAATAAATCACACCGTAACGTCCGCAACCTCCACAACCTCTATGATCTTAAAACGATGCATATACGATTAAGCATAACATAATCACAAACAATCTTAGAAACAACATACATAGAGTGTCAATATCTAGAGTAAGTACATTTGACCTGTTGGTCAAGTTGCTTATCTCTATTATCTTATATTTTTTTAGGTTATGAATTCTAGATCCACTACGAGCACTCCTCTTCCTTTCACTAGATTCCTCCCTTCCCCTTCCCTTCAGGTAGGATTAAGATTAGTATTTAGGGGCAGGTAGAGACAGTTGTTCTCCTTAAAAATTTAAAATTACCATATAATTTAATTTTTCTATATATTTTATATTAAAAAAATCTGTTTTTGTCCCTATAATTGTTAATTTCATGATGTATGGTAAAAGTACCATAGAGGTCGTTAATGTTGTATGCTAAATCAAACAAATTTAAATCACCAAAATGGGACTATCATGTGCCACTGTCGACTGCTTGCTAGTAACCTTGCCAAAGTGAAACGCGCATGCTTTGTCTGTACTATGCTATAATTAAGGGTGAGCATTCGATCGAGTCGAATCGAATAAAAAAAATCTGTTTTAATTGAGTTTATAAGTCATATTTTATAGCTTAAATTTTATTTAATTTTTTTTCAAATCGAGTCGTTTTTATAAAATTTGAGTCGAATTATTCGAGTTTCTATTCGGAAATCATATATATTATAAAATATATTCCGTTTTTCCATAATAGCAAATTATTTATTAATATAAACTTGGAAACAATTTTTCCTGCAAATATTCAATGTTCTCTGGTTAATTCTCTTATATGTTTAGTAATAAATAGGGTAAATTTTGTATTTAGTCATCAACTGTCACTTTAGTTTTGTTTTGGTCATTTAGCTATTATTTTTTTTCAAAATCATACCTAACGTTACATTTAAAGTGATTTTGAATATTCTCTGACTAATCCTCTTCAATAACTTGTCCCCTCAGCCACTTATAAATTCAAGAGAATGTACATGTTATTTCTCATCTAGGGCACAACATTTAACTGAAGAAAAATTGAAAAACAAAGAAAAAGAAAGTATGAAGAGTTTCAAGATGTGCGTTATATTCATGTTGGTTATTCTTTTTGCAGCAGGTAATTTACTCCATTAAATTTTCTTTTACTTAGCTTCTACCTACATGTATAGAGGCTGTACTCTTTTAAGGGGGTGATTCGTTTCAGTCTTTTAATTTCTAAGAGGTTACTCTTTGTGAAAAGGAAGTAGCACGGTTTTCAGGGTAGAGAAGCAAGTTTTTGTGTTTTTAATTGTGGTAAACAGATTGGATTTAGAGGTGGGAACTACCTTGGTGGCATGGAGGAGGGCGTTTACCACTGGTGCGTTGATGGCTCGTGCTGTTGCAGATGCTTTGTGGTGCTTTAGTGCTGTTTGATCCAGCTTAGGGTGGTCCTTTCCGGGTTGTGTTTCTGAATTGAGAACAGAGAAAAAGATGGATATTCTTGTTTGGTTTATTGGTGCTCGTTCGGTTCGGTGCTTACTTGTTGGTGCAGTGGTGCAGTGTTTCTGATTCGTTTTGCTTTGACTTCGGACGTGTCTTTTTTCGGCCCCATGCTGGGGTAAGCCAGTGGTGCAGTGTGGTGTTCCAGGGTTCAGTTTTATGCAGTGGGTTATGTCTTTCATTTTCTCTAGATTGCTTAGTTCCATTGATAGGCATATGTTCATTGTCTTATGTCTCGTAGATTGTAGCATGGTGTTTCTTTGTTTCAGATGTGTGTAGTTCCTTTGTGAATTTCATTCAGGGGTAGTGTGAAGCTACATTGATGTGTTTGTTTCGGGCGGTTATAGTGGTGTAGTTCCCGGCTGTTGTTCTTGTTGTTCTCGGGTTCATGTTGGACCTTCTTCCATCCCAAAGGTTCACTCTTTTTCCTCTAATTAGGATTAGGCAGGTTTTTTAATGAGGTCCTTGGGGTGGTGTACTTTGTGAATTCGAATACAAAGTAACCATTTTTCAATATATATATATATATATATATATCATGAAGAATTTGATTATGTTTATTATATAGATTAAGCATTTTTGGGATTTTAATGCATGTAGAAAAAGCAGCAGCAACAGAGAAAATATGCAGATCAACTATGACAATTGAAGGTTGCTTTAATGAATTTTGCTTGAAACGTTGCATTTATATGTATGGAGAAAATGCTACCGGAGTTTGTGTTGATCCTGTTTGGGCTAATTGCCAATGTACTTACCCTTGTTGAGTTTTCTTTTTCTTTCTTGATGTTTGCTGCTTGATGTGACCAAATCTCATTAACAAAAATCTCAAAACCCTATGGATTTATTGAATGATCTACTTTATTTTTCGGCCACACTTTCTGAATTTTGAATCAGTTGTGTTAATTAAAGGAACAGTTGTTAATTAAAAGCAAAATTGGTTAGCACAAGGGGGGAAGAATGGCTGCTTTAGAACTAGGAGGAATGTCAATTAAGAAGCCGGAAGAAAGATTTAATTAGACCAGCTAACAATGAGTGAATAAGCATATCTCTTTCAGAACAATTCAAGGAAACTTGCTTCTGTCTGTTGCTCAAGAGTTTCCAAATAACCCTACAAGAGAATATAAGCACATATCATGAGGAAATAAGCGTTCCAAATTTCCTGGGGAAAAACTAAAAGATATGAAGCTAAAATCTACTCTGATAATAGCTGCTTCAAGGAAGCTTCAAACTCTTTCTCTCGACCATATTTTGCCTGCAGAAGCCATTCACATCTTACATTTACACTGTGTCAACTCAAACTAAAGAATCAAGTGCATAATTTCTCTTATATCTTTCTCTAACATGTTACGGACTTAAAAAGCTTCTGAATACTATGGAGTTAGACTTACCAGCCATCTAGGGGACTCTGGAATGGAAAACAAGCCTATTATCTGTACTACACACGGGATTGCACCTGAAGAACAGAATAGATAAAACACTATCTTTTGCTTTATCTAATAAAGAAAAAAGCAAAGTACATACTGATCATGGCCAGGGAGAGCCAAGAAATGAAGATTCCAATGTAAAACATAAGCTCAACCCCATAAGTAATCATCAACTCCACGATAAAAGAAACTCATACCTAATTAATGTTAAGTTGACAGATCACATAGTCAATTGATTTAAGTATATTTTACCATATTTGATGATACAAAGGAACCCCAGAGACTTTTAGGTGTTATTTCAGCTATATAAACAGGTATCTGTTTCATAATGTATATCAGCATAAAAACTGCTTGAAGTTGAAAAATGAACAGCAAACCTTAGTACATTACCACATAACTAATCAGGGCACCTCCGATTCCGATGGACAACCTTCTAATGTCAAGCCACAAGGCATTCTTCCAGAAAGAATTAAACATAACCCTTTATTAGATCTTCTTAAAAATTGGCTTATATGGGGTTACAATAACTAGTTAACATAGAACTACATGGAACTGGAAGTTAACCTTTGCATATGCTATTGATAGCCACCCAGCAGTGCAGAAGACATCAGAAAACCACATTGTCTGTTTCTCACAGTCAATGAACACATTAATTTAGAGGAATAAACCAATTTTCAATGGAATTTAACTTAAAACATCTCTGGAAGATGTAAAGGCTTAAAGAAGAAGAAGACGAACTTACACGTTTTCTACCTATAAGATCAGCTATCTTCCCACTTAGAATTGCTCCTACCACTCCTCCAATTGTCATTATTGAACCAAAAACAGAGTACTGCAAATTGGTGAGAAAGATTACAAAGGATTCATCAATTTTTCACAAATATCCATGTCCAATCTATTTGTCACTCACCTAAATCCTAGTAAGATAAATTACCTTCAGGTTTCTTGTGCTTTAAGTAAGTGGAAGCTTATCGAATGCATGAGTTTTTGTGTTTTTAAACAAATAAAAATTGAAAGCAAAAATTATAGAAGAGATTGGGGAGTATTAACCGCTGGTACAGAGAGGCCCAAATCTTGCATGATCCTATTTTCCGCTGGTGATGAGTAACCAACCTGGGTCCATTTTCATAGTTCATAAAGGTAGAAAATACAATCATCTATGGTGTGTTTTCATCAGTTTTTCCCCAAACTTGTATCACATCTTCATGTTAAATATGAAGAAGAAAGTGAACAACTTACAGAACAGCCATAGCAGAAAGAACCATAAACAAGAACAAACGTACTGAAGACTAGAAGAGGTGTCAATGAGGAAGCTGATGGCATGTTAAGGTTGTCGGTAATACTGCCACCGCCGGAACCATTTCTAATTGGTTTTGTTGCATTTGGGGATTCATACCTTCCTGTTAATAGCCCTTCTTCCATGCCTTCCCTCTCCCTTTTTACAATTCTACTGCTTTTGAAATCGTTTAAACAAACAAATTAAATGTGAATCTATATGTCTGCCTTTTTCTTTTCATTTTTTTTGCTTTTTAAAGTATAAAATATATAGACGTGGAGGTAACGGATGCGAATGTGAGATGAGACCAATGTTCAACTAACCTAAAGTTATGTTAAAAAAATAACCTAAAGTTAATTATTGAAATTAATAAATATCGAAAAAAATGACTTAATCAGGCCCGTACTAAAAGATATGTAGGTCATGTGCTATTTTTTAAAATGAAGCCCCTAAAAGGATTAAAGATATTGTCAAAATCTTTGTTTGTAACTTTCTCTACTACTTTCTCGATGATCAAACGGAAAGTTTGTTTTTCCTTCAAACGAAATGTCCTCAGGACACAAAAGTTGTACATAGACGAGCCTGAATGGCATCCATGCGTGGAACCACTAAATCTTAAAATCCTGTGACGTGCGCAGGCACACTTGTATATGGATGGACCTGGACCTAGTTTCATGACACAAAAATTGTACATAAAAGTCTGAATTGCATTTATGTATGGAACCACTAAATCTTGCAATCCTGTGTGGAACCACTAAATCTTGCAATCCTGTGATGCGTCACATGCCACATTTGTATATGGACGACCTGAACCCAATATTTGATAAACTTATATTTAGTGATCATCTTATTCTTATAGTAATTTTTATATATATTATATATATAGTAATTATGTCTAATAATTTTAAATATTTAAATTTTAATTTTAATCACATTGGAACTTGAATATGAAAAAAAATAATGTTAACATGAAAATATATAATGTTAATATGAAGAGATATAATATTAACATGAAGAGATGTGACATTAACATGAAGAGATGTGATGTTAAAATGAAGAGATAAGATATTGACATGAATATATAATGTTAATGTGAAGTGACGAGTTATATTAACATAAAGAGATATAAAATTACCATGAAGAGATATGGAGTTAACATAAAAGGAGGTTTAATGTTAACATGAAAAGATGTGATGTTAATATGAAGAGATATGATGTTAACATGAAGAGATGTGATGTTAACATGAAGTGATGAGTGATGTTAACATAAAAAGATATAATATTAACGTAAAGAGATGTGTGATGTTAACATGGTGATGTTAATATGGTGAGATTTGTTGTTAACATAAAGAGATATAATATTAACATGAAGACAAGTTCGTTTCTGAAATTTTTGTGGCCCTAAGGTAAACTTAAAAATTAGACATGTAATAATAAATATTTAAAAGAAAAATTCTACAACGCTCGTGGAGCGTGGATGAGAACTGTTAACGTTGAGTATCATTAAATTAATTTATAAAACATTAAACTATAAAGCATTAAACGTATAATTATAAATTAGTTGAAAATCTAAATATAATTTGATTAAAATACAATATTTATAAAACAATAGTTTTTATAATCTTATTTTAATTATAATTAGATCAAATATTAATTTGGGAAATTCATAAACCATAATTTATTTTCATAGCTTTGAAGTTACTGCCACCGTCATCGTAGCCATCACCAGCGTTGCCGCTACTACTACCACCACCACCATTACTGTCGTCGCCACCACCACCACATTCGTCGTCGTCGCCGCCGCCGATATCATCTTTCGCCGGCGATTTAGTCTGTCATTTGCCGACAGTGAAAGATGATACCGGTGGTCGAGACAACAACGACGGTAACGACAAGAGCTTCAAAGCTATGAAAATAAATTAGGGTTTATAATTTTTTCAAATTAATATTTGATCTAATATAATTAAAACAAAATTATAAAAACTAATGCTTTATGAATATTGTATTTTAATTAAATTACATTTAGATTTTTAACTAATTTATAATTATATGTTTAGTACTTTATAAGTTGATGTTTTATAGATTAATTTAATGATGTTCATCATTAACAGTGGTTATCCGTGCTCGTCGAGCGTGGCAACATCATCCTAATAAAGTCTTTTAACAGTAGACAAAAATAAATTACTAATTTACTTGTAAATTATGTTTTTTATTTTGCTCATAATAAATATATTAAATTTCAAATAAAACAATTGTTAGGAAAGTAAACATTGTTTTCCATCTATACCGACTCTTTTCTAGACTGGATTGACCATTTAAGTCAAAGATGAAAAATGCAATTCATCATATTCATCACACTAGTAGACTACATTAACTACATAGTACATACACTTAGATGCATGTTCAGACAAAGGTATGAAAACACGGCTCTGAGTAAATCCTCTAAGCACAAAAAAATTTGGAACATATCCGTGTTAGATGCATACTCGTATCCAACGATACTCGCACTCAACTCCAAATACTATAGCTAGAAAGTGAAATGACTTCAGATCCAAGGAATATGGCTGCAAACTGAGTAGCAGCAACAAACTCGAGCAGAGAGCAATTCTACCTGCAATGAAAAGGGCATCTCAGATATATATGTAACTCTATACAAATCAATGATAAAGGAAAATAAAGTATACCAACGAAGATTTGGGAGTATAAAAGATATACTTTTAGAATTCGGTGGAAACTAATGCCTACTTTTCCTTCAGTGGTGGCCTTTCTGTAGTATGTATCCTTGGGCTGAAACTCTTCAATGAACAACCTATAAAGGATTTAATTAGTCTATGAAAATACAGATTTAAAGGCTCTTTCTATAACAATGGATTGAGTGGTTGTCACTGCATGCAATTTGTTAGCTTTGGATGTTGTTCTCGCAATTTGAAGGATTATGTCAAGCTTTTTTTTATATAAAAAAAAACATAGAACACCTACAGAATATTTAGTTATTTGCAAAATGAATCCTCACGCAGTTGGTTGGCTTCTTCTGCCATATCGTTCTCCAGTTTCCCAAACCTATAATGGACAGTTCCTCTAAGCAAGGGAATGCCGCCTACGAAAATCACTTAATTTTGTCAATAACTTCATGAATCAGAGTAATGATATAAAGAAAACAGTAGTACAGCATGAACAAGTTAATCAAATATTTATGGGAAAAAAAGAAAAGAAAATATAAAATGAAAGAGAGAAAGAAATGATGCAGAGAAAAGAAACTAATGAAGTATTACCTTTTCATCGAAGAGAGTTGGAGAGGCAATCTCTGAGTTGTTTCCTTCTGCAGCAGAGATGAATGTTTTCAGTGTAGGACAAGTTTCGATACTAAGACTTGTCAGCAAGGGGAATTCAAAGTAATTTCCATGGCAGAATCTCGTCAGTTTAGGAAGGTCTTTGAGAAATAGGAATTGTAGAATATGGAACGTTTTCTGATTCATCATTTCTTCTTTCGTTAATCCTTTCGCAGAGATCACATTTTCCAGATTCTCACAATTTTCGACCTTTAGCATCTTGAGTTGAACAAAACTTTTCATCATAGAGGACGAAAACATGAAGTTCAAATTATGACGGCCCTCGATAGTCAAGCGTGTTAGATTTTTGGCATAAGAATGTGTGGACAGAAGCTTGTGTTTCCAAACTCGCTGAATGTTGATTGAAGATAGCTCCAAATCCTCCAAGCTCGGAAAAACCTGCATACAGTAAATATAGTCTTGAATGCATGAACAAACATTTCAATTTTTAATGAATGTACATCAATGATGATTGAAGCTAACTATTCACTACTGTTAACTACTCCAAGAATATGAATCTATAAAGGCTAAAAGAACCAAAAGTTACTTGTATGCAAAGGGATTGATAGTCTTTTAAAACGATATAAAATATGTCATTTTGAACTGATTCATACCTTTTCTATGAACAACTGTTGAAGGATAACATTAAGGTCCCCTTCCCAGTGCCCTACATATTTGCCTTTAGTTGATTGTAGTCCATGCAGCATCGGTGTGCTTAACTTCCCCTTTGTGAAAAATTCCATCTTTGGACACCATCTGATGATTATTTCTTCCAAGGAAGGAAATACTAAGGTATACTTCCCTGAGCAGAAACTTGATAGGATCGGAAGACTAACAAGTTCTAAAGACTTGAGTTGGGGTAAAACGATGCCATTCATGAGTTCATCAGTTGTTGAAGCTATGATTTCTTTTAACATATGGCAATCAGTAACACACATTCTTGTGAGTTGCGAAAAACATAGGTTTGTAAGTGCTCCATGCCATATCTCCTTCATATTTCTGTTCCGAATCACATGTAATTCTTCTAAATTGGGGAATGCTTCCTGAGAAATTTGGAAAATTGTACGTTCAATAAAAAAATTTGTCTAAACTGATGCCATATCCCCTATTTTACCTCAATTTTATAGGTTCATCAATTGGGTCCAATCGCAAACTTCATCAAGACTGAATTTATGTCACATATTCTAATAGATGCATATGTATTTAGTTAGTTTTATGAACTGTTACCTCAGTGACCCAAAACAGGGGTTGTTGAACAGAGATTAGAGGTTGGCTCTCTCCTTGTGTTTCTTCAAAGTTGATATACTCCCCAGCCAAATTCTCTACCTTCCTGCAATCACTCACCTCCAATTTTTTCAAGGATGGCCATTCCGTAGTATGCAACTTGGAGTAGAAACCCTTCAATTTGGGTAGCACTCGAAGATTCAACTCTCTCATTTTAGGAAACACAAACTTGGTGATTGATTTGAGTTCGATCATTTGGGCGGATGTCACTTCTTGTGACTCACTGGAATTGAATCCGTCATCATCATCAGGTCCAATTATTTCTTCTACCGACTTACATTCCACTATTGCCAGAGTTTCTAGCTTTTCAAGTCTTTTCACCATACTAAAAGGTAAAATATTGGAAAGTCTTTCACAGTCTTTCACGCAGAGGATGGTCAATTCATTAAATGAATTCAGAGTGGGTTTATCATGCCATATCTTTCTGCATTTCCCAATGCCTTCAATGGTCAAACTGTTCAAGTTAGGGAACACAACCTGCAGATTTTATTTAAGTTATTAATACGAGAAAAGAAGTTGGAATGCTACTTGAACAAGAGAAAACCATACAAGAAGAAAGGAAAAATGATATGAAAAGTAAAATTTGAAGAGGATAGAAAAGGATACAAAAAAACGAAGGAAGAGATTAATTTTCTTTCTATTTAAAAAAAATTCTAGAAATTAAAATATTGATTTGACTACACAATTTTCAAAATGCTAATTCCAAACTTATCCCAAATCAATTTAAGAGATTAAAACACTAAACAGAAAAGAAGAGAAGAGAAGAGAAGAGAGTGACCTTATCATTGAAAAAGGGTGTGTTTTCGCCATCTCTTGTACATGCCATTGCATACATCTTTGGACAATCATCTACTTCAATTTTATACAATGATGGACATTGCAGAGTTATATTTCCCATGCAAAAACTCTTCAACTCTGAACATGACTCCAGTCTTATCTTCACAAGATTTGGTAAGCAGACTGTATCCATCGCAGTTTCCTCTGCTTCTTTCTTGATAATGTACTCCATCATGGGACATCTTTTCACTCTTATATCTAGCAATTGCACAAGTTCCAAGGCCATGGAAACGCTAAATATGTATTTCAAGCTATTACAGTCCTCAACTTCTAAAACTCGTAGGTTCTTGAAATCTACACTTTTCTCCTTCCGTATTTCCATTGACTTGGAAAATTCGGAAAGGATCAAATACGTGATGCCTTGGTACCCAACCTTCATAAAGTAATCAAACAGAGAAACAAGGGTTAAATTTCATAAAGGATCCAAGGTTACCACTAAACAACACGAAAGGAAGAAAGAGATTCGGGAATAAAATAGAATACCTAAAGCTAAATTAAAGGAATGTAAAATAGTGAATACCTTTTTTGAATGCAATTGTTGGACAGTGCTGTCAAGGTCACCACTCCAATGTTCTTTACCTTCTCCATATTCTACACTTCGCAACAACGGCGCACTTAAAACTCCCTTACAAAATATCTCCAGATCAGGACAGGCACTCACCATCACTTGCTCTAAACATGGGAATCCAAATGTGTGGTTACCTGAACAAAAGCTCTTAAGTCGTGGTAGAATCACAAGTTTCAAACTTTTAAACCTGCTGAATATAATGTCGCACGTTGCTTCATCTTCCCCACTTCCAACTATTTCCTTCATTGAAGTGCATTCCACTATGATCAGTTGTTTGAGTTGAGACAGACCCTGCACTGCTAGACATGTATCCAAGTATTTCATTCCACTGCAATTCCACACCTTCAAGGTGGTGAGATTTTGAAACGATGCTGAGGATGATCCTAAGCTCAACAGATTCTGACAATGGAGAACTTCAAGAGTTTCAAGGTTGGGTAGAATGCGGTCCACTTGTACGTCTTGCTTCCATAAGTAATGTTTTAGATTGCCAAGACCTGTCAGTTGTATTTTTCTAATTGTTGACAGTGTCCTAGCATAAGTCCCCTTATTACCAGTATCTCCTTCGGTATAGAATAACTCTTTGATTTCACAATCAAAGATACAAAGCTCTTCTAGATTGTAGAATCTTTCAAGGAAAGAAATTTGGAAATCATTAACTGATTTACCATTTTTTCCTTGCACCCTTAAATATTTTATTTGATGAAAAAGGCTGCTTGGAAATTGACCATCATTTATCATTGAGATGGATTCACTATCTAAATCCAAACGTTGTAGTTTAGGGATGGCCTGAAAACCAATCAAAAAACAATTTTGGAGTTAGTATGTTCATCTTCTTATATTAAGATCTAATAATGGCTATGAGAAGAAAATTGCAAGCACAGATAATTAAGTATTGGCTGGCGAATCTATTAGCTAAGTTGGTACCTCTTGATTTTTGTAGTCCAACATGTGCAAAACGGCAAAAACAAGAGTTGATAGAGGGAAAAAGAAAAAAGAATTTTATTTGTATAAATACAAATTGGTAACAACGTGTCAATCAAATCACTGAATTAATATTTTAATTAAAATAAAGCAGAACATATAGAGTGGGAGCGAGAGGGTACCAAGAAAAGTGGTGGTTGGGAGTCAAGTTGTTGGTTGTGAGTGATGAGTTGTGTACCAAATATCTTCATTTCCCCACACTCGGATGCTCGTAACTCTTTTAACATTGGCCACTTTGTGGTATACCTACCCGGGTAGAAACATTTGCATTGTGATAGCCCCCAAAGCGAAAGGTAGGACAGCTGATCAAACTGGAAAGTGACAATAGTTTCCGAATCCAATCCTTCCTCTTCTTTAGAAACAATCTCCTCCACTGGACAACCGGCTATTATAAGACTACTGAGTTGTGCGAGGTCTCTGGCTAATGAGGCTGGAAATACATTCTTCAGACTCTTGCAATTCCCCACAGATATTTCACGTAGATTTTTAAATGAAAAAATGTCTTTGGGACCGTTTTTCCAAATATATTTCAAGTTTGGTAAGTCATAAATGTCGATTTCTCTTAGTTTGGGAAATGAATTTGGTGGAAGTGGGTTCTCCCATATCATCTTCAACTTTTCCAAATGGCGAGCCCACACTATCTCCAAACTGGGAAATGAAACCTGCACTCATCATGTCAAAATAATGAAATTAAGAGCTAGCGCTAGAGATACATATATGAGTGCGCGTGTGTTTGCAATTGTATATATATACATACAAGCAGAGTCGAAGCTACAAACTTTCGTGCAAGTTGTTTTGTGGACCGGATCATCTTCAATTATGTATTAAATAATTTTTTTATATTTGTTTATATTTTGTATTTAATTTAAATTTTATAATGTAAAAAATATTAAATCAATTTACTCTATCATGATTTGGTAATATATAAAAATCAGGAATTTAAGAATGCTAAAAATAATAATTAAGCTACCTTATTGTCGAACAGAACATGATTAGAGAAGCATTGGTTGCCTTTCATTGAAGATCTGTATATGAAACCCTCCAATTCTGGACAGTCGTATATTCTCAGTGACTCCAAGGTCGAAAATATTTATCTTATAAAAATATTAAATCAATTTACTCTATCATGATTTAGTAATATATAAAAATCAGGAATTTAAGAACGCTAAAAACAATAATTAAGATACCTTATTGTCGAACAGAACATGATTAGAGAAGCATTGGTTGCCTTCCATTGAAGATCTGTATATGAAACCCTCCAATTCTGGACATTTGAATATTTCCATTGACTTCAACGTCGAAAATTGAATAACTTGAGTTTGGTAATCGGAGCAAAATCCAATCAGATGCTGAAGATCAGTTAGCTTTAAGGACTTTAACCGAGGAAATAATGATAAAGTCATACCAGTTTGGGTTTCTTCTTCTATTTCCTCCATGAAAATGATCTCTCTTAAGAAGTAGCATCTAATTATCTTAAAGTCTGTGAGATGCACTAGACATTTAGCCATAGAAAATGAGAACAGGTGTTTTAAGCTTACACAACCCTCGATTTTTAATGTTGTCAACTTCTCATAAGTGCTGAAAGATGTACTCGAAAGTTGGTTGTGCCATACCCTTGTAACATTAATTGACTTCAGCCACAAATTCTCCAAGTAAGGGAACGATATCTACAACCATACAAATGATTTCAGGAAATATTTGAAATAAAAATTTAAAAGACATTGAATTGTAAATACCTTTTCACTGAAAAGTGACAACTCATCTTGAGGTAATGAGCTGGTAGCACCGGTTCCGTGTTGTGGGCAAAAGCTAATGAGCTTAGGAAGATCATGCAGTGTCAGGGACTGTAATTGAGGAAAATCATATTCATCATTGATAATGTATTCAGTATCTAAACCATTTTGGATATGTAGATTCTTCAAATGCGATATGCTTTCTTCCTCTGTTAACTCCTGCAATGCAATCTTCACACCTTTGAGTTCACCCAAATGTAAATCTTCAGTTCTTTTCAACAACTTCTTAATTCCAAGATCCAAATCATCCATGCCCGAGTTTAGCCTCAGTTTTAGGGTTCTTGAATATTGGTAGCTGCGAAACCACTCCCACGCCCATTCCACTCCTATGAAAATCTTGTATCTTTTCAACTTCTGCAACTCATTAAAGAAGTCTTGTGGTGCCGCCTTAGCATCTGGGATTTGAACTTCTAAAGTGGACAAATGAGACAGAGCATGTAGATCAGCAAGAGTGGCACTGCTTTCTTCCCATTGAATAGAAGTCCCACCCATATATAATTCTTCTAATCTTGACAAACTTGACAACACGCCGTCTGAAATTGTTTTGAGCTTAGCACAACGACTCACGTCCAACAACTTTAGTTTCACCAGTTGCCCAATTTCTTTTGGTAGAAATCTAATATCAGATTCCATAAGGCTAAGAATTTCCAAGCTCTTTAGCTCTCCAATAATGGTAATATTATCTCCCAGTTTGCAGTGATCTAGGCACAATGTGCTGAGGCTTGTTAGTAGACGAATTGATGAAGGTAAAGAAGAAAATTGCATCCTAGTCAAATCTAAGACTTTAAGATTTGTTGCTTCCTTGAAGAAGTCATCCGGTAATGTCAGGGAAAGATCATTGCTAAACAAAAGGAAAAAAGAAAGCTGTGGACAATTTAACTGGTCAGGAAGACTGTTAATTGTAGGATATTGCAAACAAATCTTGTTGCACTTTTTCATTGATTCTTCATTTGGCCAATCCATCATAACATCATCTTTTTTCAAGGAAAACACATGACTGTCCTTGGAAGCCATTGATTTGGCCACAATATAAGTAAGATCATGCACATCAAAGCATTCATCATTGGTGTTACTATCAAGCAACAAACAAGATGCTTTCAGGGTACTCATCATTGTTAACAATGCATCTCGTCCTTCTTCCAACGTGTCGACTCCCTTAATTAAACCCAAACCAATTGTATATCTCAACAAATCTTCAATTATAGTATCACGACGCAATAGACTGCAAAGCAGGAAAACTTGCTTGAGGTCTTCACCCCGTAAATGATTGATACTCAATTCGATAGCAGAATATACCTCAGCAGATATCTCGCTCGGGTTTTCTGAGTAAGGCCTTCGTAATTGTCGTAAAGCCTCCTTCCAAACAGATAAACTTTGTTTTTGCAACGCCCTAGCGACTGTGGCAATGGCAAGCGGCAATCCTGCACATCTTTTGGCTACCTCAATTGCTGTAGATCGAAGCTCATTATCTATTTCAAAACTGTCCCCGGACATCTTCTTAAAAAACTCCCATGCTTCTTCGTCCTCTAAATCACCAAGCTGGAAAGTCTTGGTAGCGCCCATCCCATTGCTTAGAACATTTTTATTTCTTGACGTCAATAGTATATTGCATCCTTTGTGTTGACTTCCACATGGAATTCCGACTTCATCTAGGTCCAGTTTCTCCCAAATATCATCCAGAATAATAAGAACCCCCTGATTCTTCTCTTGAATTAACCTTTCACGTAATCTACTGGCTCTTACAACTGTACTCTTTTCTTCAATCCTCAAGCCCAACGATTCTGCTATTTGATCTCGGATTTTCTGAATGTCAGGTGTCTGAGATACAGTGACCCTAACAACTGAATTGAACAACTTAGCCTCCTGGAGTTGTCTTTCAACTTCTTTAACTAGTGATGTTTTCCCCACTCCAGGCATCCCGTACACTCCAACCATGCTCACAGTAGAATCTTTCAGGGATTCCATGATATCATTGAAAACCCTTTCCCTTGATTGAAAAGCCTCAAAATCTGTATCCAATATGGGTTGTGGAAGATCATGGTAGCCCACGCTGCTAAATTGACATTCTTTGATAAGCTCATCAAAAGTTGCGGCATCTTCTTCCGCTTTCCTGCTAAGCTTGTGTCGACACTTGATGTTGGGACAGAAGCCAAAGAAGCACTTGTTTGCTTTGACTTGAAGATCATCCACTTTATGCTTGTCTTCAGCGATAACCTTGTCCACTCTATCGCACCAACCTTGCACATCCGCTTTAATCTTCTGCACGTTCCTTTCTGCAACAACAATATCTTGCTGCACGCTTGATCTTTTGTCAATCAACCTCTGAAGTTTGTCCTCGAAATTCTTGACGTATCTCTGGTAGAAAACTACATATCTGATATGACGTTTTGCTTCATGAAATACACCCTTTGCAGTTTCAGAAGAGAGATATTGGCAGCGGCACCAGTAGCAATTGCTTCCATTTCTTTTCTTTTTCTTTTTCTTTGGGGAGGTCCGAATGGAAAACAAAACAAACAAAATGAACAATGGATACAATAAAGGAGAATCAAGAAAGAAAATACTGAGAAGAAGCAGGCAAGAAAGAACAACCTTCAAAACAGGGAATGAATGAGACGAAGGTAAAAACTTAAGGATGAAATGAAAATTGCAGAGGATTGACACACAGCACCAACCACATATATAAACGTTAAATGGGTGGGTAATGTATGAAAAATATCATCAATTACTGCCAAAAATTGAAGTCAATAAAAATAAAGAAAGACTAAGGACCTTTTAAGTCTTTATCAATTACTATTATCCTTCTTTGTTTTTAGTTCATGTTCAAGTCCTTATTAAATTTCGAATTACAAGTCATTAGCTTTTATTAAACATATTAAACAAATAATTTTCAGTATTGAGAATTTTTTCAAACATTTCATTCAAGTAAATTCAAAGGAAAATACTAATGAAATTGTGCTCAACAGTCAACACTCACTCGGATGATTTCTTTCATAATATTGAATCAAATGAGGTAGAGAGATAGATTAAAAAATGACTAAGCACTAAGTATTTTTTTAGATATGTTTAATGTTTGTTTTATTGTCTTGTGGATGTTTGTTTTATTGTCTAGTGGATGTTGTTCGCTTTGTGGAAGACACCTTTACCACTTGCAAAAGCTGTAATAGTAAAAAAGGAGCGGTTAGCTCACATGGCAATCAATTACCAAAAGTCTTGCGATCAATTTGGACCTCAACCCCATCCAATTCATAATGTAGCGAAATTCATGGCTTGTGGGAGCAGCTCACTTGATGCATGATCAAATATCACAGCTCACATTGATTTGATATAAAATTGTTATCTTTCTTTTGTTTGGTATATAAACTTGTCAGATTCTTTCATTGATTTGTTTATTTTCATTCGATCATTTCGCATGCGCAAAAGTGAGAATGGGAGGAAGTTTATGCACTATTACTTGGTGTAAAGTTATTTATCAAAAAAAAAAAAGTTGGGAGAAAAAAATTATAAATATTTTAAAATTATGATAAGAATTTTAAAAAATATATTTAAAATTTTAGAAATAAATAAAATATTTATCATTATTTAATAAGTGTTTGTGGAATTATTTTTCTTAGATTGTATATTGAATACTATTCCAAAATGTATATAATATATATAAAATGCCTTTTTAATATTTTTACCTAATTACTTATTTTACAAAAAAATATAATTATGAATATATAATAATAAAAATTATATTTTTATATAATATATATGTAGGAAATAAAAAATGTATAAATGTAATTATCTTGTATATATTTAATTATAAAACTTTAAATTTATATAAATTACAACTTGAATTAATTAACAGAAAAATAACATTTATTAAATTGATCTCTACCACTTTATTTTTTTATTAATCATGCAATAAATTATTGAAAGATTATAATGATTTTTAAAAAAATATATATAAATTATTATTTGGTGGTTAAAGATAGTAATATTTTAATTAGAAGTTATGTGTTCGAGTAACTATGTATATGGACAAAGCTACGTGAAAGGTTGGGGCCACTTTCCCCTAGTTTTTTATTATTAAAAATTATATAGGGAGAAACATGTATTTAAACCTTCAAATTTTAGTTTATTTTGATTTTGTCCCCCTCATTTTGGTTTATTTTGATTTTACCCTTTTCATTTACTATTGTTAGTTACATCTTGTCCACTTGAATTAGAATTTTGACTCTGTCTCTGGCTGTGTCTGTAAGGTGTGTATCTATATATCAATGACTAAAAAAAGATTTTAAATAAATATTATCTTATAATTATCTTAAACTACTAAAAAAATATTGAAACATAAAGTACTTCTAAAATTTATTATCAATTGAACCCAAAGGAATAGCTTCGTTGGTTGTGGGTGTTTTCTCACATAAGTAGGGGTAAGCATTCGATCGAGTCGATTAAAAAAATTTCGAATTATTCGAGTTGACAAGTCTTATTTTATAACTCAAACTTAACTTGAAATTTTTCGGAGTCGAGTCGAGTTTAAGAAATTTGAGTCGAGTTGTTCGAGTCTAGTTATTAGAGTTTCTATACAAATTTAATTGTAATTATTTATAGTATTATAGTACATTTTTATTTCAATTTTTTGACTTTCTCTAACCATATATATATATATATTCTTTTCACATTACAATGTTATTTATATGTATCACATACAATCTAAAATTATAAAATATATTTACAATAGTATATTTCAAAGAAGGTATTTTGAGTATAAAGACTAAAAAGAGTATAAATGAGTCAAAGAATTGATGTGAAAAAAGAATTTGTAAACAATTGTAGTCAAAATACTAAATTGAGTAAAATACAAACTTAAATAACTAAATTTTAAAATAGAGTATATTTTTAGTAAAAAATAAAAATTGAAGTTACATAGATTTTCTACAGTGGTAGGAGAATATGTGCTTTAAATTTTGGTCAAAAACGTATTTAAAATGAAAGATGAATTGAAGAAATATAGAAATCATGCAAAATGGCTTAAATATACAAAAGGTGCCCAAGGAATATCCATTTTTCCAGTTTATTGCCTAACGTTTTTTCGGTCTAGTTTAGTGCCTAATGTTTTTTCGGTTCTAGTTTAGTGCCTAACGTTTTTTCGGTTCTAGTTTAGTGCCTAACGTTTCATTCCGTCACTCAAAATGGGTCACGCCGTGATAGACCGTTAGTTTTCTCCGTTAAGTGACACATGTCACAATCTGGAAATGTTTAAAAATTATTTAAAATTACAAAAAAAATTAAAGAAGAAAACACAATTTTTGAAATAACCACCACCGGTCGGAGAAGGGTGGTTCGGTGACAGATTTCAAGGTTAATGGGTTGAAATGAAGGTTTTCAATGTTTTGGAGTTATTTCAAATTTTTTGTGTTTTCTTTTTTAAAAATATATATAATTTTATTTTTTTTAATTTTAAATAAAATTTTTAATACTCTCAGATTGTGACATGTGTCATTTAACATAGAAAACTAACGGTCCGTCACGACTTGGCCGATTTTGAGTAACGAAATGAAACGTTAGGCACTAAACTGAAAAAGGGCATACATTGGGCACCTTTGTATATTTAAGCCCATGCAAAATTGAGGGATTAAATTGAAAAAAATATAAAAAATGTTATCAAAAGTGAAATTGAAAGTACATATGTATTTTACGATGGTTTAGGAGCATGTGATTTAAATTTGATGAATTTTTAACTTAAAATGAATGAGGAATTGAAGGAACAAGATATCAGGGACCAAATCGCAAATCTATCAAAATACTCATTCAAATTTTCATTTTTTCGAGTTACATGAAATTTTAAAATTTCAACTCGACTAGAACTCAAAAATCAAGTTGGTAATTCGAGTTAATTAGAATAACTTGAAATTAAAAAAAAATTCGATTTTTTCGAGTAAAGTCGAATTTTGCTCACCCCTACCTATAAGAGACATGGGTTCAAGCAATAATAATTATATAGGTGCGTGTAATATATGAAAATAAAAATCAATTATCATCAAAAATTGAAAAATATAAATAAGGAAAGAAAGACTAAGGGTTCTCAAGTCTTAATCAATTATTATTATTATCTTTCTTTGATTTTAGTTTAATAAAAAATTTGAAAAGTACAAATAAAGAAAGACTTAAGGACCTCTCAAGTCTTTATCAATTATTATTATTATCTTTCTTTAATTTTAGTGTAATAAAAAATTGAAAAGTATAAATAATAAAAAAAAAACTAAGGACCTCTCAAGTCTTTATCAATGATTCTTACTATGTTTCTTTGCTTTTAGTTTTGGTTAGATAGCATAAGTCCTTATTAAACTTGTCCGCTCTATCGCACCAACCCTGGACCTCCGTTTTAATCTTCTCCACGTTCCTTTCTGCAACAATATTATCTTGTTGCACGCTTGATCTTTTCTGAATCACTTCTCAAGTTTTTCCTCAAAATTCTTGACGTGTTTCTGATACGAAATTACATATCTGATATGTCGTTTTGCTTTGCGGAAGATACCCTTCGCAGTATGGAAAGAGATATTGGCAGCAGCACCGGCAGCAATTGCATCCCTTTTTTTTTCTTTTTCTCTGGGGGGACTCTGAATGTAAAGAAAAACAAAATGAACAATAGGGAGTCAGTAAAGAGAATCAAGAAAGAAAATACTGAGAAGCAACGGAAAAAAAAGTACCTTCAAAACAGATAATGAATGAAATGAAAGGTTAACACTTGACATTGACAATGAAAATTGAAGACAAACAGAACCACTTGTAAAAGCTGTAATAGTAAAAGAGGATCAGCTAGCTCACATGCCAGTCAATTATTATATGAAAATAAAAATCAATTATAATCAAAAAATTGAAAAATACAAATAAGGAAAGAAAGACTAAGGACTTAATATTATCTTTCTTTGAGTTTAGTTTAATAAAAAAATTGAAAATGATAAATTTTGATTTTAGTTTAATAAAAAATTGAAAAATATAAATAAATTAAAAAAGACTAAGGACCTCTCAAGTCAAAAAGGCCAGTCAATTACCAAGAGTCTTGTGAATTTGGACCAATACCCCATCCAATTTATAATGCACCCAAATTGAAAAGGACTTGTGGGAGCAGCTCACTTGATGTATGATCAAATATGAGCTTACATTGATTTGATATAAAATTCTTATCTTTCTAGTTTTGTTATATTTTCTCAATCAACTTCTCAAGTTTGTCCACGAAATTCTTAACGTAACTCTTGTACGAAAGCACATATCTTATATGACGTTTTGCTTCGTGGAAGATACCTTTAGCTGCTTCGGAAGAGATATTGACAACAGCATCAGTACCAATTGCAATTGCATCCATATCTTTTTTCTTTTTTTTTTTGGGGAGGTTGAATGGAAAGAAAAACAAAATGAACGATAGAGAGACAATAAAGAGAACCAAGAAAGAAAATACTGAGAAGCAGCAGAAAAGAAGTACCTTCAAAACAGATAATGAATGAAAGGTTAATGGATAACACTTGACTGTTGACATTGGCAATGAAAATTGAAGAGGGAACACATGCAGAATCACCTATAAACGCTGTAATAGCCGAAGAGGATATTTACTCTCCTCCATTCAAAACGTTTTTTAAATAAAAAACATAATGGTAATTTTAATTTTATCATTTTTATTACTGTCATTTTAATGCTCATTGTTTTTGTTTAAATTTAACTTTCACCTTTTTAACCATTTACCAAGTCTTCCGATCAGTTTGGAACACAACCCTGGCCCACCCAATTCATAATAGACAAATAACATGCCAAAAATTATTAATTAGGCTCCTCCGAATACATACGGACCACAACCCCACCAGATTCATAATAGACAGATTTGCTCACCGTCTAGTCCATAACTACAGCTGCCATTGATTTGATGCGACGAAACCACCACTATTGTCGCGTGCAATTATTATTTTTGATTATCGTATAGTTATGCTTTATTAAAAGTTTCGATTATTATAAGTTATTTTTGATACATAAGGACCTCTCAAGTATTTATCAACTATTATTATCTTTCTTTAATTTTAGTTTAATAAAAAAATAAAAAGTATTAAATAAAAAAAAGGATTAAGGACCTCTCAAATCTTTATCAATGATTCTTACTATGTTTCTTTGCTTTTAGTTTTGGTTAGATAGCATAAGTCCTTATTAAACTTGTCCGCCCTATCGCACCAACCCTGGACATCTGTTTTAATCTTCTCCACGTTCCATTCTGCAACAATAATATCTTGTTGCACGCTTGATCTTTTCTGAATCAACTTCTCAAGTTTTTCCTCGAAATTCTTGAGGTATCTCTGATAGGAAATTACATATCTGATATGTCGTTTTGCTTCGCGGAAGATACCCTTCGCAGTATCGAAAGAAATATTGGCAACAGCATCGGCACCAGGAGCAATTGGATCCATTTCTGGTTTTTTTTCCCTTTTTCTTTGTGGGGAGGTTCGAATGGAAACCAAAACAAAATGAAAAACGGAGACAGTAAAGGAGAGGCAAGAAAGAAAATACTGAAAGGAAGCAGGCAAGAAGCAAACGAAAAAAAAAACAACTTTAAGAACCGAGAATGAATGAAATGAAAGGTTAATGGATAACACTTGATGATGAAATGATAATTGCAGAAGAATCACATACTGAACCACTTGTAAAAGCTGTAATAGTAAAAAAGTCAGCTAGCTCACATGCCAGTCAATTATTATATGAAAATAAAAATCAATTATCATCAAAAATTGAAAAATATAAATAAGGAAAGAAAGACTTATTATTATCTTTCTTTGAGTTTAGTTTAATAAAAAAAATTGAAAAGTATAAATTTTTATTTTAGTTTAATAAAAAATTGAAAAATATAAATTAAAAAAGACTAAGGACCTCTCAAGTCAAAAAGGAGCAGCTAGCTCACATGCCAGTCAATTACCAAGAGTCTTGTGAATTTGGACCACTACCCCATCCAATTCATAATGCACCCAAATTGAAAAGGGCTTGTCACTTGATGTATGATCAAATATGAGCTTACATTGATTTCATATAAAATTCTTATCTTTCTAGTTTTGTTTGGTATATAAAATTGTCAGATTCTTTTATGGATCTGTTTATTTTCATTCGATAATTTCGCATGTGGAAAAGTAAGAACGGGGGAAGCTTTTCAGCAACAACAATATCTTGTTGCACGCTTGATCTTTTCTCAATCAACATTTCAATTTTCTCCTCGAAATTCTTAACGTATCTCTGGTAGGAAAGCACATATCTTATATGACGTTTTGCTTAGTAGAAGATACCTTTAGCTGCTGCAGAAGAGATATTGGCAGCAACATCAATAGCAATTGCATCCATTTTTTTTCTTTTTCTTTGGAGAGGTTTGAATGTAAAGAAAAGCAAAATGAACAACAGAGAGACAATAAAGAGAACCAAGAAAGAGAATACTGAGAAGAAGCAGAAAAGAAAGTACCTTCAAAACAGATAACGAATGAAATGAAAGGTTAATGGATAACACTCGACTGTTGACATTGACAATAAAAATTGAAGGGGAACACATACAAAATTAGTTGATCTTATTCTCATATGTAATGAGATAAAGGGAGGTAGAATAGTAGGTTGCCCCAACACCAAAGTAAGGGAACACATACAGAATCACCTATAAACGCTGTAATAGCCGAAAAGGATATTTACTCTCCTCCATTCCAAACATTTTTTAAATAAAAAATATAATGGTAATTTTATTTTTAACATTTTTATTACTGTCATTTTAATGCTCATTATTTTTATAAATCGAATCTATTTTATATTATACTGTTCAACCAGTTCTTAAAATAATATATCGTCAAACTAGTGCTTAAAACAATGACAATGCTAACAGACATCATTAAAATATGATTTTATTATAATGCAGTCAATAGATTAATATCAAAATCAATCAACCGTCAATTTTGTAACTTATGAATAATTGAGTAATTATTTTATAAATTTTAATAGTTGAAAGATTTAACAAAGTATCACCTTATAGTTAAAAGATCATTTTAAAACTTTTAATATTTAAGAAACTTAACAAAACAATATCTATATTTATTTTGTATGACACGTTTGTTAAAATTCCAATGGAATGAAATAGATGGAGCCATTACTCCATTAGTTTAGTTGAATAGGACGAAATGATAATTATAAGGGAAAAGTTAAATAGACAAATAATAATTGAATTATCTTAAAATATTTTTTAAAATATTAAACTTTTAAAGTTATTAAATAAATTTTAAATTTTATTGTAAAATATATATTACGTTATAAGTTATTATTAAAGAGATGAATAATATTAAATATTTTATTTGATCATTAAATTATAATTATTTATATTTTTTTAATTTTTTCAATATTTTTAAATAATAATTTTAAAAAATAGAAAAATTAAAAATATATAAAATATTTATAATTTATTTTAAATTATAATTAAAAAACTATTACAAATCATAAAAATTTGATAAAATTTAAGATCTATTAATTAGTTGAAGAAAAATTCTACAACGCTCGACAAGCACGGATGAATACCGTTAACGACTACAACGCTCGACAAGCACGGATGAATACCGTTAACGATGGGCACTATTAAAATAATTTATAAAACGTTAAATTATAGAGTATTAAATGTATAATTATAAATTAGTTAAAAATCTAAATATTTACATTAGTTTTTAGGGTAAACTATACCATTGACCACCTAACTATTTACCCATTTTACTTTAACCAATGATTTTTCGATTTTATCAATCAGGTCACCTAATGTCATAACCGTTTTTCGGCGGGGACAATCGATTAATTGTTTAGAAAACAGTTACGAATTTTAATTTTGGAGAATGGGTGATTTGGAATTAATTTGAGTAAAGCTGAAAAAAGTCGCCATCAACCTTTGGGTTAGGTAGGTCGAATACCTAAAAACATCTTTTAAAAATAATTTAAAAAAAAAATCATTTTTTAAGACAAAATTTGGTCTGCGTTTACCAAAGATTCGATTAAAACGGGTTCGGGAGTCGATTACGTGTGGGGAAGGATTAGCACCCCCACAGTGCCCTAAATCGGTATTTAGTAGATTAATTAATGTATTTACAATGAAATATACAAATTCAAATTTAATTTGGTTTATGATCCCTAATAAAACAACACATGAATTCGACATATTCAAAAGCACTAAAATATATTAAATTAAAATTACCAAGCCATTAGAAAGATAAATAATATTAGATTATTTAAAAATATCGAGACTAGATCTTAAATAGTTATAACAATCTTTTCTCGATAAATTTAAATAGCCGAACATTTCTTTTTCTTCCATTACCAAATTTTAAGTGACAAGTCAATTTCTTAGGTGTCACTGATGGGATACACTTTTATTTTAAAATCGTTAAAAGTTGACCTCGAATAAGTTAAGACAACTCACTTAAAACGATTTTAAATTAAAAGGGTATTACCCTTAATCCAATTATGTAAATATGTCGAATTATGCACATGAGGTTAACATACAATTTAAGTAAAAATGTCATGCGACTTGCAAATACTTTATTTTCATATTTGTATACATGGAACCATGTTATCATGTAAAATAATGACATACAACTAATTAAAGAAAATCACTATTACAGATTAAATTAAAAATAAAAAAATACAAGGATTAGATCTACTAGATAAAATAATCTAAATTAGGACTAAAATAATTGAAATCTAAATCTAAGGATTCAATTTAAAATTAAAATTCTAGGACCAAATTTTAACACAATGAAATAATTCAGCAAGTTCTAGCATAGTGACTATATTAAAAATGAAAAGAAATTAAGCATGCAAGATCGAAATTATGACAATGACCTAAATAGAAAAATTATAAACTAATGACCAAAATAAGCAAAAGCAAGAATTAATAGCCCTAGCATAAACATCATTTTTTACAAAAGTATTCACTAAGGACAGAAACGAAATTATTCAAAAATAAGGATTCAAAGAAAGTTTCATTCAAAATTATAATAACTACATGCACAATATTACCAACCATTAAAAAAACGCATGTGCAGCATATAATTTCAAAACTTTTGAAACACAAAACAGCTCCAGACCATTCGAAAGATTAAGGGAGCATTATGTCACCTTCTCGCTGGAAGAAAAAACTGCATTCCACCGCCGCACTCGGGCGATCGTTTGACGCCGAACTTCAGGGGAAGTTTCATCTCGACGCCGGGAGCTCGAATATGGCCTTGGTTTTGTGAGAAACGGTCTTCAAATCCACCGAATGACCGATAAACATTTCAGCTTTTCCTCTCTGATTTACTACCAACCACCGTTAGATGGACTTCG